TGTTGTAAGTGGAGTGTTAAAGTCCCCTGCAATTACCACATTCTTATCAATAAGGTTGCTTATGTTTGTGATTAATTGTTTTATATATTTGGGGGCTCCCATATTCGGTGCATAGACATTTATAATTAATTGTTAGCTCTTCCTGATGGATAGACCCTGTAATTATTATATAATGCCCTTCTTCATCTCTTGTTACAGCCTTTAATTTAAAGTCTAGTTTGTCTGATATAAGTATGGCTGCTCCAGCTTCCTTTTGACTTCCAGTAGCATGCTGGATAGTTCTCCATCCCCTCACTTACAATCTGAAGGTGTCCTCAGGTCTAAAATGAGTCTCTTGTAGACAGTAAATAGGTGGGTCTTGTTTTTTTATCCATTCTTATATCCTATGTCTTTTGGTTGGAGTATTTAGTCCATTTACATTCAGTGTTATTATAGGAAGATATGGGTTTAGAGTCCTTGTGATGTCTGTAGGTTTCATTCTTATAGTGATGTCTCTGGTGCTTTGTGGTCCTTGCAACGTTTCACTCACAGAATCCCCCTTAGGGTCTCTTGTAGAGCTGGTTTAGTGGTGATGAATTCCTTCAGTTTTTGTTTGTTTGGGAAGACCTTTGTCTCTCCTTCTATTCTGAATGACAGACTTGCTGGATAAAGGATTCTCGGCTGCATATTTTTTCTGTTCATCACATTGAAGATTTCCTGCCATTCCTTTCTGGCCTGCCAAGTTTTAGTAGATAGATCTGCCACTAGTCTTATAGGGCTCCCTTTATATGTTAAAGCGTGTTTATCCCTAGCTGCTTTCAGAATTTTCTCTTTATCCTTGTATTTTACCAGTTTCACTATGATGTTGTGCAGAAGATCGATTCAAGTTACAGCTAAAGGGAGTTCTCTGTGCCTCTTAGATTTGACTGCCTTTTTCCTTCCCCAGATCAGGGAAGTTCTCAGCTATGATTTGTTCAAGTACACCTTCATCCCCTTTCTCTCTCTCTTCCTCTTCTGGAATTCATATTATACAGGTATTATTCCATTTCATTGCATCACTTAGTTCTCTAATTCTCCCCTCATACTCCTGGATTTTTATCTCTCTTTTTCTCAGCTTCCTCTTTTTCCATAATTTTATCTTCTAATTCACCTATCCTCTCCTCTGCCTCTTTAATCTGAGCTGTGGTCGCCTCTATTTTATTTTGCACCTCATTTGTAACATTTTTAGCTCCTCCTGACTGTTTCTTAGTCCCTTGATCTCTGTAGCAATAGGTTGTCTGCTGTTCTCTATACTTTTTTCAAGCCCAGCAATTAATTTTATGGCTACTATTCTAAATTCTTGTTCCATTACATTGCTTAAATCATTTTTGATCAATTTGTTTCATTTCATTCAATTTGTTTTGATCAAATTCGTTTGATCAGCAGGACAAGGTGAGCCCAGTATCCTCCTACGCCACCATCTTCCCCTAATTATATCCACAATCTGATCTTAAAATGGGCAAAGGACCTGAACATACTTCCAAAAGAAAACATACACATGAAAAGACAACAGACACATGAAAAGATGCTCTGCATCACTAATCATCAGGGATATGTAAATCAAAACCACAGTAAGATATCACCTTACACTTGTCAAAATAGCTAAAATCAAAATGACAAGAAGAAATAACAGTGTTGGTGAGAATGTGGATAAAAGGGAGCCCTCATACACTGTTGGTAGGAATGTAAATTTGTACAACTACTATAGAAAACAGTATAGTGGTTTCCCCAAAAAAATTAAAAATAGAAATACCATATGACCCAATAATTACACTGGGGACTTACTCAAAGAAAATGAAAACACTAATCCAAAAACATAGGTAAATGCACTCTGTGTTTATGTCAGCCTTATTTACAATAGCCAAGATATGGAAGCAACCTAAATGTCCATCAATAGAAAAATGGATAAAGAAGATGTCACACACACACACACAGAGGAATATTGCACAGACATAAAAAAGGATGAGATCATGTCATTTGTGGCAACATGGATGAAGCTAGAGGGTATTATGCTAAATGAAGTAAGTCAGACTGAGAAAGACAAATACCATGATTTCACTCATATGTGGAATCTTTTTTAAAAAATCAAAACAATAACAAAAAGCAGCAGCAGACCTGTAAACACAGAGAACAAACTGATGGTTGCCAGAGAGGAGGAGGGTAGGAGCTGGGCAAAATGAGTGATTCTGTCTCCTTCTCTCTCCGCCCCTCTCCCACTCACGCTCTGTCTCTGTCTCTCAAAAATAAATAAATAAACATTAAAAAAATTAAAAAAAAACAAGGGCATGTTTCACTCATGAATACTTCATAAAGGCTTGGTACTTGTATCTCCAAATTGTGAAATACAGACCACACTTACAATTAATGCAGTTTCTATAATTACATATGAAAAATAATCAAGATGTCTTAGTACAGGCTCATTACCTTGTACATAACACACTGACTAAATGTCTATATTTGATAAGTATCTATTTGCTAGTTAAAGGGCTGCAAATGTGAATAGGGTGAGGTATCACTCCCAAGATTATGTTATGTTGACCTTAAGCCAAGGTTGTCTAGGAGAGCCCGGTAATGCTCACAGGTGCTCTTAAAAGCAGGAGCTTTTTTCCAGCTGGTGACAGAAAAGAAAGTCAGAGAGACTTGAAGCATGAGGGGAATTCAATGTGCCATTGCTGGCTTGAAAACAGAGGTGCCACATGAGTAGTAATGCAGGTGCTTAGGGAGCTGAGAGGCCCCCCAACAGCCAGCAAGGAAACAAGGACCTCAGTCCCACAACTGCAAAGAAATAAACTCTGCCAACAGCTTGAATGAGCTTGGACGCAGATCTCTCTCAAGGAGGGATAGAGCTTCAGCTCAGATAAGTGGAAAAAGCCTTTACCTCAGCATTGAGTTGGTGGCAGAACTGTTCTCTGAGGTTTGGGAGACTGAACTTGCATTCATTTTTTGAGGATCCAAGGAAATAGTTGCATCTAATAAAATATCTTCTTTTGTCCCAAATTCCTTTAATCCCTTTCCCTTTGATACCAACAGAATCAACCAAAACCAGCCTGCTCAGAAGCCAGATGTCCACCCACAAGAGCTCAGCTTGCAGTGAGAGGACGTATGACCTTTCTAGTTTCAGCAGCTGGAACACTCCAGGTGACAGAGGCAAGCCAGAGAGGGTCTCTATGTTAGGAAGCCCAGGGTGGCCTTCCTTTGCCCATTGTGTCTGTTCCCAAAGAGCTGGGTGTAGGTACATTTTGATGACAGCGGGGACAAATCATTTGTAAGTGGATTAGGATTGATTCCTATTCAGGGACTCCTTGTAAATCAGGTCTACCTGCTGGAGACCTGATTTTCTTTCTTTCTTTCTTTCTTTCTTTCTTTCTTTCTTTCTTTCTTTCTTTCTTTCTTCCTTCCTTCCTTCCTTCCTTCCTTCCTTCCTTCCTTCCTTCCTTCCTTTCTTTCTTTCTTTCTTTCTTATACTAACACTCCCAAACACTCCTTCTTCTAGATGTTGCTGACTCAACTAGCTAATATTTGTTTTCATTTATAAATCCAAGTTTATATAAGGATATATATTAACAACCCCAAATATTAATTGAAAATTTGTACCTACAACTAAACAGGATCTAATAGGAGTTTCGGTTTTCCATACAGAGTTGAGGAACCACAAAGCAAACTATTAGAAACTAAAATGTTGATGAACCTTCTTTTGTATAATTTGGGGGGAGTCTAGTGAGGGCAACACTGAACAATCAATGGTTACTGGCATTCTCATTCAACATTTTAAAAATGTATTTTCTGGGGAATGAGAGAATGAATGTCTCATTCTTCCTGGAGAGAGATCTGAATGGGTATGGGATGAAGTAGGTAAGCAAAACAATAGGGCCATTTGTATCTATGCATTGGTCTTTTGTGTTATTGTAAATGAATCTTGCCTGAGAACCCACTATGACAGGTCAGTATTCTCTGAAATATGATTCATTTATTAGCCTTCAGTCACAACTGAACTCTGAGATAAGAGCAATCCTTTTGCATTTTGGTAAAAAAAATTATACAACTGTCATTTCTCTTTCCACAGAAATGAGTGTCCTGTTGATAAATGAGTATCCAGATGGCATATCATTAGAAAGATTGAGTCAAGAAGAAAGCCAGGTTCATGGCCAAGAGTGAGTACTTTAATTTTCCAGGACAGTTGTGTTATGTTTTTGTTTATTACAAGCTTTAAGCATCATAGTTTTGTGGTCTTATTTCTTCAAGTATGTCTCCCGAAAACTGGCTCAAAACTCATGGCTTGGTTGCCAAGAAACTCACCATCATGGATGCCTTGTCACTGACAGCCGTCCCTCACACCCCCACCTACATTCCCATTCTGGACAAGTATGTTGTTTCCAAGGTCTTTGATGAGGTAAGACTGTTTTTCTCTATGTCCCTGCCTGATGTATTTTTCATTTCCAGTTCAAATAAAAAGTAGCCCACTTCGGTCTTGTACAGTTGTAAGAGAAATGTATTTCAGCCATTGAAAAGAAAAGTGTTTGTAAAGATAGTAAAAAGGCGAGAGGAAAGCTCTTAAGCATTTTTGTTTTTAAGCTGAGAAGAAATTGGCCTTTTTCATGACTGGCTGCTGGTGGGTGGCAGTGTGGAGCTGCAGAAATGTTTGAAAAGCATCTCAGAGTCATGAGTCAAGAGTGAACATCATCCAGTATCAAAGGACTGGGAGAATTTGTGAGAGATTATGTCCTTTGTTTACCTTCTGTTCCTAAATATAGTGCATCTTTTCCATCATAAAAGTCTCCAAAAGAAAAAGAGAGAGAAAGAGGGAAGGAGGGAGAGAGAGAGACTGAGAGAGACTGAGAGTGAGCCAGAGCAAAGAACCATAAGAGAGTGACAGCCGTGTCTTGGAAGGGGAAAAAGCAGTAGGAGGGCATGGAAGGGTTAAACGCGGAGGACAGCCAAATAAATACTGAAAAGTTCCCCTTGAATTGGGCAACCAGAAAGCTCTTGCCCTTGGCAAGAACAGATCTAGCTGAACAGCTAGACTGTTCAAGGATGAGGAACACACAAAAAGCAAGGATATGAAGATCAAACCCCAGTGCTTCTGGACAAATACAGTGTTAGCTAATGACTTAAATAGGAACATATCAGGCTTTATGGGCACTAAGTGGGAATAGTATCCTTAAAAGATCTTATCTCATGTTGAAATATTTATAGAATAAATGTAAGGTGTTTGGGATTTGTTTCCAAATCATTGGGATAGTGGGAGTAGTTGGGGGAAGAGAAAATAGATAAAACAATATTATCTGTGAGTTGGTAATTGTTAAATTTTCATAAGAAGAATATTGAGTTAGGGGAAGCTCATTCTATTCTGTCTGCTTGCTTTTTTTTTTTACATAGTTTCAATTTTCCATCATAAAAATTTGAAAAAAGCAAAGGCAGGAAAACTTTTTTAAAAAGGCATTATCTAACTGGTCTTGATATATTTGGAAGAAGCAGAGAAATTGGCAAATTTTTTCTATTAGTCACATTTAAGACATTATGCCCATGGAGTTCAACATGCATCCTGGTTTGACACAACCAGTGGTTTTTGCTCTGGAGGTTGTGTGTGATTTATCCTAAATTCCTGATGACTGTACCTCACGGTGAGTGGTTCTGTCCCTGGCTGAGACCTTGTGACTGGCAGGTTCTATTTGTACCTCCAGTGAACTCTAAACCGATTAGATAACAACATATCCCTTGAACTTGACTTCTTCCGGAAGCAACAGAGAGAAACCGAAACTGATATATTTCTTCTAGGAAGTTTGGTGGCAGCTTCCCCTATTTTGTGCATTTATTTTCTTAATATTCTTTTTTAGTGTTTATTTTTTGAGAGAGGAAGAGAGAGAGAGAGAGAGAGAGAGCAAGCAAGGGAGGGGCAGAGAAAGAGGGAGACACAGAATCTGAAGCAGGCTCCAGGCTCTGAGCTGTCAGCACGCAGGGCTGACAGATGCAGGGCTGAGAGCCAGATGCAGGGCTCAAACCCACAAATCGTGAAATTGTGACCTGAGCTGAAGTCAGACGCTTAACCAACTGAGCCACCCAGGCACCCCTTTTTATTAATATTCTTGAGTTTTATTTGGAATAAGATGTATTTAGTGAACTGCCCTGAGAAGTAGAATTTTCTTGTGCTTATCATGTCTCTTTCTAAGCCTCCCAATAACCTGAAACTTGGAAAAGTACATTTCTCAAAAAACAAATATGATAACAGTAGTGAAGTATAAGCATAAAATCAAAGGAAGAAACCATGAGGGAAAGATTTATAAATTGAATACAGAAAAATGTTATATTACATAAAAGCATGTAAATAAAATGAAAGAGCTCAGAATAATATTTGTAACATATACAACAAAAAGTTATAGGAGTAATGTCTTAAATATATTTTTGTGTGTGCATCCATATAAATCTGTGTGTGTGTGTGTGTGTGTGTGTGTGTGTATGTATGAGCACATGAGTGCATATAAATCAGTGTTTTGTTGTTCTGTGTACACATACACATGCACATGTATTCATACCATAAAGGAATAAAAAAATGGTAAATACCTCAGTGGAGAGTCTGGAGAGGGCAGGGAGTCAAAACCACGTTGAAAAATATTTCTTACTGGTAACCAAATATATGTGTTTAGAAAAAATACAAATTGATAAACCAAGTAGACAACTCCCCTACCACCACCATCAAATTTGTAAGATTAAAAAAGTACTAATAAACAAAAATACTAATGAACAGTGATGGAAAAGATAGGATGAAATTGGAACTTTTATATCCTACTGGATATACTAGATTTATACAGGAGTATAAATTATTTCAGCCTTGGCAGTACACTCAGAGGTGTTAAAAGCATATAGTCTTCCCTCCAGCAAATCCATATTTAGATATTTCATAATCAGAAATACTAATACACATATTCAAAGAATAGTTAGCACTGCCTTATATCTAACATTGAGGACCCTAAAAGCAACCTAAATATCTAAACATCTATATCATGGAATGTCATACTTTCATTGAATATCATATTTCTCTAGAATAAGAAATGACGTGGGGAAAATCTCTCAACATAGTTAATGCTAAATGATAAAATCAGGTACAAATCTTCACATATAGCATGTAAATTTGGTTACATGTAAGTATGATGTAAGACGTGGCACTCTTTCTCCCTCCTTTTCTCTTTTACCAAAATGTTAATAGTGTTTATCTGAGTCATGAGATTATTGGAGGCTTGGGGGTCTTGTTTATGTACTTTCTAATTATTGTTGTAGTGCTTTTAACTCTGAATATGTATTAATGATACACTGAAAAAAAAGTTAAGAAAAACAGACCTATAACAAATGATAAAATGGTGAAATATAAAGGGAACTTAATTTTTTACTAACTTATTTTTTTATTTTTATTTGCTAAGTAACATAATACATTCTCAGTGGGGAATGAGCATATAGAAGTCTTTAAAGGAAAACATGGAAACTTCTTTCTCAACTCCTCTCATCTAGGAAGGAAACCCTCTGAGTAGTTTGGTGAATGTCTTTCCAATTCTTTTTCTACACACAAACTCATATATGTACATATGTATACCTAACATATACATATGCATAACAATTTTTGTAAACATAAATGAGGTGATATCATATGGATTTGCCATTTTTATCTTTTATAAATTATCTTTTATAAAAATTATCTTCTAAAAATTAAGATCTTAGAGACCTTTACACATGTGTAGATATGGGTCTCATTCTTACTAGTTTCAAGGTTATTCTCCAATGTTACTTTTATTTCATGTGCACAACATAGTGATTTGACAGCTCTGTAAGTGACGCTGTGCTCAGCCCAAGTGTAACACCATCTGTCACCATCCAATGCTATTATAGTACCATTGACTATATTCCCTATGCTGTATATTTCATCCCCAGTTCTTTCCCATTATTAATGGGCATTTACACTGTATCCTTCTTTTCCATATCACAAACAATCCTGTGACAGATTTCCTTGCACATAGATTTTGGGGCACATGTACAAATCTCTCTTTGGGATAGCTTCTGTAAAGTGGTATTGCTGGACCCAAAGGGTGCATACATTTAAATTTTTGACAGATGAAACCAAATCACCCTTGAAATAAATGTTACATTTCTAGTAGTTACAGTGACAGCCTTTTTTCTGAGAGGAACTCTATATAATATCTCTTGATAAACATTTGCTCTACAAGTATAGAAATGCTTTGAAAACCCTGAAAATAGTATACAGACATAAAATCTTATTCAACCTATCCTCTTCTCACTGGCTCATATTCTGAAGAAGTAAACATAGCAATTCATGTAAAAATAATATACCTACTCTGAGACTGTCATGGGATTAGAAGTAATGCACATAATAGACTGCACTTAGCAGGCTCTCAATAAACATTGGCTTTTATTACAAAAATATTTCACAAATATTACATGCCTACTATATGCAGACCCTGAGCTGGTCTCTAGAATATAGCTAAACAAGACAACCAATATTCTTACCCAAATACAGCTTACCATCTCATGGAGGAAATAGTAGTTAAAATAAGTTCTAGTTAAATGTGACAAGTGGGAAGTACTGAAGTCAAGATGCAAGAGGGGTCCCTAACCCAGTTTCCATTGTCAAAGAGGCTTCACACTTGGCTGTGAGAGTTCAGAGCCTGGAGCAGAAAAGGAGTTATGAGGTGATGAAGTGGGGAGGGATATCCTAAGTAGTCAGAGAGCAGGTGGCAAAGTCTCAGGGTCAGAGAAAGTTTGTCATTCCAAAGAAAGTTTGGTGTTAACACTCGTAAAGGAAGGGCCTTGATTAAGAGTTTGGAATATCAACCTGAGGACAACCAAAGGGTTTCTAGCAGAAGAGAGAGAAGATTAAGTTTGGGCTTTAGCTGCAATATGCAGAAAAGTTGGAGAGGTTTGAGGCTGGGAAGGTAAGGGTTGGTCAGGAGGCAAGGCCTGGGTGATTGTGACCCAGGTGGCAACAATGGCAGTGAATCCAAGGCTATTTTTTCTCTTTTTAAAAATTTTTTTTAAAAAACTTCTAAAATTTTTATAGAGAGATAAAGAGAGTGTGAGCAGGGGAGAGGAGAGAGAGAGAATCTCAAGCAGGCTCCATGACCAGTGCAGAGCCTGACACAGGGCTGCATCCCATGACCCTGGGATCATGACCTGAGCCGAAATCAACAGTTGCTTAACTGACTGAGCTACCCAGGTGCCGAAATCAGCAGTTGGATGCTCAACATACTGAACCATCCCTGCACTCCCAAGGCTATTTTTGAAGTCAGCTAAGTAGGATTAAACCATGTAGGGCTGAGAAAGAGAAAAATATGGAGTGATTTCCAAGAAGGAAAAACTGGAAGAGTAGTGAGGACCCTGTTCTTTAGG